CTGGGAGATTTTTGATTAATAATTCAATCTCCTTACTAGTTACAGTTTCCTCAGATTTCCTGATTCTTTGTGATTTGGTCTTGGTAGGTTTTGTTTCGGAATTTGTCCATTTTACCTAGGTTATCCAATTTGGCGTGTATAATTGTTAATAGTGCATTATTATAATCCTTTTTGATGGCCTCAGTAGTAAGGTCCCTACTTTCATTTCTGATTTTCTGATTTTATTAATTTGAGCCCTCTCCTTTATTAGTCCATCTAGCTATAGGTTTGTCAGTTTTGTTTACCTTTTTAAAGAACCATCTTTCAGTCTGACTTTTTTCCTTTCTCTTTCTATTGCCTACTTTGGTTCTGCTCTAATCATGATTTCTTTCCTGCTGCTAGCTTTGGGTTAAGTTTGTTTTTCCTAATTCCTTAAAGTGGACTTTTAGGTTACTTATTTCAGATCTTTCTTTTCTTACGGTAGGTGTTTGCAACTAATAATTGCCTTCTGAGCTCTGCCTTGCTGCGTCTCTTAAATTTTGGTATGTTGTGTTTTCTAATTTCCCTTGTGATTTCTTCTTTGATACATTGGTGTTCTCCCTTCAGTTCTGTTTTTGCTTCATATATTTTGATGATCTTTCATTAGGTACATAAATATTTATATTAATAAAGGTTCAATACAGCAAGAAAATATAACAATTATATAGTATCTGTTTTATAAGCTTTTTTAAAATTTAAAGTCTGTTGGTATTCCATACCTTTTTCATTACTGTTTGCATGGAACGTCTTTTCCCATCCTTTCACTTTCAGCCTGTTTGTGTCCAACCAAGACTCCTTTAGACAGCAGAGTTGGATCATGTGTTTTTATCCATTCTGGCAATCTGTGCCTTTTGACTAGAGAGTTAATCCATGTAATTTAAAATGATTACTGGTACGAGGGTCTCTGTCATTGTGTTTGTTTTCAATGCGCCCTATACCTTTTGTCCCTCATTTCCTGAATTCCTGTCTTGTGTTTAGATTTTTATTTTTTAATGTTTAAATTTCTTTCCTTTGTGTATATTCTATTGCTCTTTGTGGTTGCTGTGGGGATTACATTTAACATCCTAAAGTTATAACTCTGTAATATTAATTTATATCAGCTTAATTTCAGTAACACACAAAAACTCCTTTATGCCTGTTCCCACTCCTTTTGGGTTGTTGATGTCACAGAATTATATCTCTACACTGTGTGCCCCAAAACATAAATTAATCTTCCAAATTATGTAGGAAACAAGATTTGGAGTTACAAACAAAATTTACAGTAATAATAGCTTTGATACTAAAAACATTTTAAAAAATGTAGTTATAAGCCATTAGTTACAATAGCACCAACTTTTACACTTGCCCAGGATTAACCCTCACGGAGATCTTTGGAACTCCCTCAGCTTTTGTTTATGGGAATTTTTAAATTTATTTTACTTTTGAAGGACTGTTTCGCTGAATATAGGATTCTCTGTTTATAGTTTTTTCTTTCAGCACTTTACAGTCCACTATTTTCTGGCCTACGAAGTTTCCGATGAGAAATCTGATGATATATTGGTGATCCTTTGTATGTGATAGTTTGCTTCTCTCTTGCTGCTTTCATGATTCCTTTTTTTTTTTTTATTTGAGAGAGAAACATCAATTGTTGTTCTACTTGTTTATGCATTCATTGGTTGATTCTTGTGTATGCCTGACTGTGGATCAAGCCTGCAACCTCGGCATATCGGGATGATGCTCTCACCAATTGAGCTACCCTGCCAGCTATTTCATGATTCTCTTTTAACTTTGGCTCTAATGTGTCTTGATGGGGGTCTCTTGGAGTTCATTGAGCTGCTTGAATGTTTGTATTTTTCATCAGATTGGGAAGTTCTCGGCCATTATTTCTTCAGATATTTTCCCTGCCCTTTTCTTTCTGGGAATCCAAATATATGCATCTTGGTGTCCTGAGTTGTGCCCCACAGGTCCCATCAGCTCTTTTTGCTTTCCTCCACTCTTTGGTCCTTATACTTGTTAATTTCCATGTTCTGTCTTGTGCCTGCTCAGATCTGCTTTTGAATCCCTCTAGTGAATTTTTCACTTCAGTTCATGGACTTTTCAGCTCCAGATTTTGTTTTTATTGACCTCCATTTTGTTCACACATCTTGACTTTCTGTATAACTTCCTTTAGTTCTTTGAGCATCTTCAGTAGTTGTTTTAAAGTCTTTGTTTAATATATCTCATTAGGGCCTTTTTAGGGTCAGTTTCTATTGCTTTTTTTCCCTTTGAATGGTCATACATTTCTGTTTCTTTGTATGCCCTGTGATGTTTAAATTATTATTGAACACTGGACATTTGAATCTAACAATATGGTAACTCTAGAACCCCCCTTCCCCCCAGGGTTTGTTGTTGGCTGTGCCAAGAATTAGCCTGCGGTGTAAACGCAATGTCTTCTAGGCCTTTTCTGAGCCTTTCCCAGGGCATGCTCATTCACTAATATTCCCTGTATATGTGGTTGGTTTTGAATGTCTTAATCTTTAATTTCTGGCCCTTTAACTTGGAAATCACTTCAGCTGGAGAGAAGGGGCTTTTGACAACAAAACATCACCGGCCACCCCCCTGTCTGGAGGACAGGGCACTTTTGGTCAACCCTGGCTCGCACATGCAGGTACAGGGGCAAGCTGCCTGCCTGGTGGTGGGCAGCTGCTACTCTGCTGAAATTGACCAAAATTAACCACAACTTACTGTCCACGTCTCCCCGGTAAGTTGCGAGCCTTCAGTAGACTCCAGCGTTCCAAATAGTCACTCCAGACAGGCTCCTGTTCTGTCATCAGCCCAGAGTCCTCTCAAGATCTTTTTAAGGAAATAGAAAGTGTTTTATTTCTACTGGGTCATTACCATCAACACACAAACATAAACAAGTTGTGCCGGGTAAGCTTGAATTCGCTGATGCCTGACTACATACTGCAGCCTCAGCCATCCCGCTCAGTACACACAACATATTCTAATGATCATGATGTTGTTTATGGTTGAGCCAAAAAGATCTTTAAAATCACAGCTTCAGAGGTCTACAATATTAACCAGTTTCCTACGCATTCAACCCCAAGTTTAAACACTGGTCATGATTTCTCCTCTAGTGCTACAACTGTGAGGAGGAGGCCATGTACCACTGCTGCTGGAACACGTCCTACTGCTCCATTAAGTGCCAGCAGGAGCACTGGCACGCCGAGCACAAGCGCACCTGTCGCCGGAAAAGATGAAGGCGGGTTCTTGCTGGAGAGTCACCGATGATTGCTCTTCTCAGACACAACGGTTTTTGTTTCCAAGAAGCCAAAATTGTTTAGAATTTGCTTCCCATTTTGCACCAGCCTTTAAACACTTTTCGTGAAGAGATTTTGCACAGTAGTTTAAATCTTTTGTTAATGTCCCTCTGGAGTTTTTCGGGGGTAAAAGTAACATCAGTGGAGGGTATTATTTTAAATAAAATTTAATTGAGAATTTGTTGCATTTACAGCAAATTTTAAAACATTTTTAGGTTTTACAGAGATTTTAACCTTTAAACAACAGATCTTTAAAAAACAACAGGTGTACACAAGTGAGTTTAACAAACATTTAAAATAGGTCTGAATGTAAGAACTACAGAACTGTTTCAGAAATAAAACATACTACCTTGATGTGAAATTTATTTCTTAACCTTGTTGAGCTGGTTTTGTTCAGCTTAATTTACTGTTTAAAGGCATTATCTATTGGTTATGCCAGTGGGTATATGATTGAATTTAGGGAACAGGGTTGACACAGCAGGTGCTAGTCCTGCATATTTTTTCTTAAATATTTCCCAATTGTGTTTTTCATTATTTCTTTTCAATATATAACTTTTATAACAAATTATTAGCTTTGATCTTGTAGTTTAAAATTGCAGGGAACTGGGGGTAATCTTTTACTGAGCTGGATCTTAGAGAAAATGAATATTTAAATTTTAAAGTTTGCACATTTCATCTTTGTCCTAACATGAGTGCTTGTAACAAAATAAACAACAAAAATAAACTAAGCCAAAAACTACCTTAATCCGTACATGAAATTATAGATGGGGCATACAAATTTATTTAATGCTTCCCTTCCCTCCCCAAATATCGATTGCCTATTATCTGGTGTCACCTCGTATATTATAAGTTAATGCTAAAAGGAAAGAAAGCACTTAAGTTTCACAGAAGCCGTTATGTTTGTGGTAATGGGGTCGTTGCCTACTAATGACCCCATCGCTGTACAGAATGAAGAATAATGCATGTTAATTTTCTTGTATTAAAGATGCCGTGGTTTGTAAAAAGTCTGTATTTTGCGGAATGTCTGAAGAAGCATTACCAATAGGAATGGATCGATAGTTGAATAATGAGTTTTTTATACATAGATATATAAAATACAGCCAGAAAAACTGAAATTACTTTTTTTTTAAAGAAAAATCTTTTTTCAAAGAATGATCTTAGACCAAGTCAAATTCCCATTTATCATTTAGTTATTTTTTAAGGTTAGAGAAATAATTTGTAAATATTTATTTAGACCTTTGATATTTATTAAAGCAATTACACACAATGGAAGTGAAAGAATCAGGAGAAAAACCTTTTAAAAAGTTTTCTCTAGGTTTGTCAGGGTCACTCTAAAGTTAAAAATGTAACCAAGTCTTCTGTGAAATAATCATCTACCCAGTCCTGGTGCTGTTGCAGATGGCGGTGACACGAGTTAATCGACAAGCTGCTGCCCAGCGGTGCCCAGCGGCTTGCAGGAGCTGCGCGTAGCGCCGTCACCACTGTCCCTGAATTGCGCAGTGACTCCATCTCGGTCCCTCCTCGTTGCTGTGTGATCAGTGTTGCTGTGGTCTGGTTGAGGCATCGTAACCGAGAACACTTACCTTCTCTTGATCGTTTCTCAAGTTTTAAAACTTCGATCCACCCCTATGAGAGCAAGTTACTGTGGAAGTACTTTCAGTGTAAAATCATTCCAGAGTGTGTACTATTTACTGATAGCTGCATGAACGTAAGATTCGTGTTACTTTGGCTTTTTTGTCTCCGTTGACACGGTTGCACATTTCCAAGTTACTACAGCGTGAAAACTGTGTGTTTAAAAAAAAAAAAAAAAAAATTAAAAAAAGATTGTGGCCTGGTTTTGTAAAAGTTTTAGGTAAAATTACAATTGATTGTTTTAGGAATCATTATTAAAAAATTTCTGCGAATCATAAAGCTATATCAAGATGTTGAGCTTAGCCACTATGCACATTGTAATTACTCATTGTGGCTGTCCAGTTCTATGATGCATTCTGGCATTTTGTAAGCTGCTCTGACTAGCAATATATAGATTCATTTAATGTGTTAACATTGGTTAATAAATGTATTTAAAAAAACTGGCTTTAATACATTGTTGACTTAGTCCGTTCCACTATCCCAAACTAAACACAGCTATATCGCATGGTGATCACACAGTGGGTTATCCGCTGGTGACTGTTCAACTTCATATAAAAACTGTGTGAAAAACTATTCACTTAAACACTTACATTGAACGTACTTTTCCCAGCTTTCAAAAAGACTCAAAATGACTCAAAATACCTTTACCAATTCAAAAAAAAGTCAGGTTTGTTTGACCTCAAAACCTGTTTTCTTAACCCTTACACTAGACTAGGCTGATCATACAAATAGAAAATTATTCCATGGAAGTTTGTCAGTATCATCAATCTTAGTACATCCAGAATCAAACCTGTCATCGCTCCCAGTGTCACTCCACTCCTCTAACCAGTTTACGTGAACCAGTCTCAGTTCAGGTCAGCATCGCCCTCCTGCTCATGCAAGGAGCGACCTGGCCCTCTTTTTGCCTTCAGTATCTAATTCAGTGGTTCTCAAACTTCTGACATCCGACCACAGGAGAGCTTGTTAAACACTGCTGGCCTGACCCCTGCATTTGCATTGCCAACAAGTTCCTAGTGTTGCTGATGGGGGACCATCCTTTCATAACAGTGCTGTAACTCAGGAAAATAAAAACAATGGGCCATTTCGTCAAAAATCCACATGCACGTGCACATACGTGCACAAAACATGTTGCACAAAATTTAGTACATTACAGATTCCTAGGGCTCATCTGTAGACTCATCACCCCCAGGAGCACTCTGGTCCCTCAGGTTAATCCATGACCCCTATGTTTAGGGAAACACATGGAGTCCTGTTTCTATGCTCCAGGTCACAGCCTCTCGTTAAAGTACAGAATCGGAGCAGGCCTGGGGTCGGTGGAGGTGGTGATTCTGCTCTTTCTCAAGCCTCCAAGTGACAGTGACTCTGCTGGCCGCAGATCACACTTGAGAGGCAAGGTGTTAAAGGGTATGTACCTTCACAAAAGGTCAACCTGAATTATAAACTGCATGAAACTGTTGTCAAATGAGAATATGTAATATGGGACACCTGTATAATTCTAAATAACTGAGAAGGGTGAAAATTTTAATAATCTAAAACCATTTCACTATTTAATATTAACGATGAATGAAACAGTTTACATTCTTGTTCTGCACTAAGTCTTCAAAACCCATTGTGTCTTAGGCTCCCAGCACCTCTATTTGGACTAGCCATTTTCCATTTGTGGCTGTCGCCACCCTGTATTGGACAGTGCAACCTGAAAACAACAGCTTTGTCTTACCGAGTGTCTGCCCTCATCAGCACCTTCTTTGTAGTCAATACTCAATCAGCAAATGTGCATTAGAGGGCCTGCTTGATACCTGGGAGCTGGTAAAAAAAAAAAAAAAAAAAAAAAAGTCAAGATCCAAGCTCCGGGGATCGGCTCATGAGTGGTGTTTCAGAGTCAGATCTGAGAAGTTAGCAATCCAGTCAACAAGTTCTAAGTTGACATTTCAATTAGGCAGCCCCGGAAAAGCATCCTAAGGTTCCCTGTGACTCTACAGGGCAGTTTGAAAACCTTTAGTCCAACTTCTTAACCTCACACTGGAGAGAAAGCTGAGACCCAGAGCCGCTCGGAGTCAACATCCACGGTCCTAACGTCTCTTCTACAGCCACTTGAAGGCTGCAAGATGCAAAGATTAAAAACCTCCTACTGTCTAGAAATAGGGCAGAGTGTAGCTGAAGGTGTAGAACGCTAAGGAAATCCAGGAGGCTGCAGACACCACTCATTTAACACACACGAGCTCCAAGAGCATCTGTGTTTGACGCTGATCACATGACAGCAGAACAGACACACTGCCTGTCCCTGTGCAGCTCACATCCGAGTGAGGGCCTCAATCAAATAAAAACATTCTACTCACAAACCAGAGCTAGGTGCAAGCAAGAACAAACACAGAACTATAGGAGACAGAGAAAGGACAACATGAGAAGGGGAAGGAATTGGGGAAGGCTTAAAAAATTACATGCAAACCCAACCTTGAAAGGTGAGCAGGAGTTAGCTGGAGGAGAATGGCACCTGAGGGCCCAGTATTGATCTGGGGTGACCCACTTTTCTCCATATTTGTACTATGAACATTACTTTTAAAATCAGGAAACAAAGTTAGAAAAATAAGTCTTTCTTGGCCGAGCGTGGCTCAGCGGTTGAGCTTCGACCTAGGATCCAGGCGATCGGGGTTCGATTCCCGGTCGGGGCACATGCCCGGGCTCCGGGCTCGGTTCCCAGTCCCTCGAGGCGTGCAGGAGGCAGCTGATCAGTGACTCTCTCATCATTGATGTTTCTATCTCTCCCTCTCCTTTCCTCTCTCTGAAGTCAATAAAGATATATTTTTTAAAAAAAGAAAAATAAGTCTTGCCCTGGACAGGTGGCTCGGTTGGAGCTTCTCCCCATACACCAAAAAGGTTATGGATTAGATTCCTGCTCAGGGCACATACTTAGGTTGTAGGTTCGATCCCCGCTCTGGGAGCGTACAGGAAGCAATCGATCAATGTTTCTCTCTCACATTGATGCTTCCCTCCCTCC